TATATATATATATATACATACACTACGAAATGAATATATTTATATCATATAGAAAGTCGTGCTGCACCAATTTAGCCACAGAGGAGCGTCTGGTTAGCAAGGACGATCTTGCTGCCTTTAAACTACAATCTTCCATGATTCCCTCGAATGATCATATCTGTTCACGTCAGGCTATATGACGTTTCAGTATAGGATGCAGGTTCGATTCTTGTCGGGGGACACATATTTTCTATGAAAATTTCTCGGACATTCAGGCCGGTAAATGTTGTTAATACTGCTTATTATAAACAGAGCATTTACTTAAATATTTGTATCTGTAAAAATAAAGTATAAACAGAATATATATATATATATATATATATATATATATATATATATATATATATATATATATATATAAATGGTGAAACTATTTTCCTATAATAGTTTTTCCAGGATTAATGTTATTTTTATTCCCTAAAACCAAGGAGTGCATTACATTTATTATTGTGGGAAGATAAATTATTTATTAAAAATTTTGAGCACTGAGTGATTTTGAATAAAAAGAAAACCATACCTTGAATCTAATTTCCCGAAGTCTCCAGTCTATTGATCTAACAATGGAAAGCGTCCCGATACATGACATATCGTTATATCGTTCTATCAGCACTGCTGAAGAGAACTTAAGTCATCTCCTATTTCATTTATACATCGATAATTACATATATACGTTGTTAGAGAACAGTGTAAACGCAATGAATTGAAAGATATCGATCGTAAACTACAGAATATGCTAATGATTGAACCTCGGCTTCACTAAAGATACCAGAGGCTGGCGAATAAATTTGATTCTCCTTCATGTCTTGGTGTTTTTACCAAGTACACCAAAAGAATTTAGCGCGACGAACCAGATTTGTAACCTAGACAGCGGAGCGATCCTATGTGAACTATAAGATCCACCAGGATTTATTATTATTTATTTACAACAGAAGATACGCAGAAGTCACTGTGTTGATATCAGGCACAGAAGAAAAAAACAGCAAGAATTCTGAGAAAAAAGAAAAGAAAAAAAGAATGAAATCTGAAAGAACCGACGACCCATGATAGGGGTTAAGAAAAACACTATGTTGGAAGTTTTAAAACAAATGACAGAAAATGTAAAGGTCTATTGGATTAGCGAAAACTGCTTTCCAAAAGTTAAACAAAGTATTAAGAAATAAAAACAAAGAAAAGAATGCTGAACTATGTCATACCAATCCTCCTCTATGGCAGTGAATGATGGACAATTTCCTCGCAGTTAAAGAAGACACATGGAGAAACAGAGCTGTAGCTGAGAATACGATGGACAAAACATGTAAGCAATGAGATAATATTAAGAAATATGAAAACGAAAAGACCCACTTGTACTTAGAATCAAGAAGAGTTGAAATTTCAGGGACACATAATGAGAAAAGACGGTTTCGCGAATTTGACAATTACAGGGTATTGTAAAAATAAGAAAGCCAAAAGAATACATTGAATAACATATCAAAGGAATTTGTTGAAAGAGATGGCAGGTCAGGGAGTGGGATGGACAGTAAGGAGACAGAGACTGTTTAGAGCTACAAATGACAGGAAGTTGTGGAGAACCATCAACATCCACGTCCTGAAGAGACATGGCACAAAAAAGAAGAAGAAAAAATATATCCGAACAGTCCACCATTATTCTAAGAAAGAAACCATTACAAATGAGATAACTCAATAAAAGTTTCCAGACCTTATATCGAAAATTGATTTGGTTTTCTTGATTGGAATCTATCTACCTTATACTCGCCTATCATGCGACTGTTGAAAACCTAAATTTGAATCTAATTTTAAGGGGGTCGCATCATACACGAGATATAAAATTAGCATATGTACGCTGTTGGTCAAACTATATATCCATTTACTGTAGTCAAATTAGCTCCAAAATTAGATCTTCAAAGGTCGCATGATACACGAGTATATAAGTTAGACAAATTAAAATAAAATACATACAATAGATAGATAGATAGATTAAAATAACATACACTAGATAGTTAGATAGATAGATAGATAGATAGATAGATAGATATGAGAAGATTGAGAGTAATACGAGAAGACTGAAATAGAAAGTTACCCAGAGAGATAGATAGATACCGTATACACTCGCGTATCATGCGACTGTTAAAGACTTAATTTTGAAGTTAATTTTAAGGAGGTCGCATCATACATGAAATATAAAATTAGCGAATATACTAGTTGCCCTGTCTACGCCGTTGACCAAACTATTTATCCATTTACTGTAGTAAGAAAAGTACAGCTGTATTTAAAATAAACATCATTTTGATAAAGCTAATGTTTCACTTAACTGCATCCAATAATAATACATCTAATATTCACATATTAGTATCGTATTGTAAAATACAAACAATATGCATATTTTCAAATGTATACGTTTTTAAGATGACTGTACGCATCTTTACTCAACGAGTAATCTTTCTCTTTTATTTTTTTAACTCATTTAACTAGAAGATGGGATAAATTGATAAAGGAAAAGAGGTTAGTCTATTGTAATTTGGTCTCTCAACAAAGGAAGTCGCATGATACACGAGACACACGATAAAATATTTTAGTTTAGGGGTCGCACGTTACACGGGTATATATGGTAATGTCTCTCTTGTCTAAGTATAAGTACGTTTCTCATATTTTTGTGGAATCTATTCCTTGCTTGTATGGCAGGCAATTTAGGAAAAAAAAAACTATTTTGAAAACCAACGGGAAGAAAAATATTTCCCAAGGAATTATGGGAATCTTCATAAAAATCTGTTTTCCAAAATTCACATGTTTAGGTTTTATTATAATTCTGATCATACCGAGGAGTGGAGGTAGTTAAAATAATAGCGGGGTCAACGCAAAATCAGAACTTTTGGCACTCTTTTTTTTTCTTTTTTTTTTTTTTAGGGCACAAGATCTAAGTTTGCCCTGAATTTAATAACTCTGTTTTCTTTTTTTGTTAATTTATTTAGATTTCGATATTACCACTTTATGGCAATGTAAACATTTATATAAATCCCTCATTGTTTTAATATGTCAGTTTAAAACAACAGGAAGGAATATTATAAAAAGTTTAGATTGCTGTAAAGTCGTAATATCGAAATTTAAATAGGCAAAAACGAAAGAGTTTAACAGGTTCGTCGTTCCTCTTTCATCAATTGAGCCCGAGAAAAGTGCACATCGACTAAAAGCAACAACTCCAGAAACAGGATGTTATATAATAAACATAAAGGCTTAAGTCTAAAAGCCAATCCATCTGCTTTCTGAGGGATGGCTGAAAGGACTTATTATAAATAGATTCTAAAACCTTAGCCCTTTGAGCCGTGCGTTCCTGAACAATTTTAATTCTTCTGCCTGAGTTTCTGAGTCAAATAATTGGCATGTAATGTTTCCCGGTAGATATAAAAATTGTTACAAGTGTTTGCCCACCATTCAACTGGTAGCTTGGCATTAAGTCATTTTCCTCTACCACTGGTAAGGCGGTGGTCAGGGCTCAAAAGTTTAAAATCAGAGTGTACCATCGACAGTACCGATATGACGGGAAACGCAGTCTGCGCTTCTGATTGTCCCCTCTTCGTCTACACATCGTAAAAACAACAATATATTGATAGTTCATCTATCGCAGATCCAGATGTATTAACGTGTCTATGCATAATGTTCAAAATTGGCTTTTTTTTTAATATAAGCTGTTCCGGTTAAACTGTTTTTGCTTTTCTTTCGTGTTAATTTTAGTTACTTTTCCAAATTACCATTTTACCTGCTGTTTCAAGGCATCCGATTTAACCGCGGTTACTAATTTTATTATGAAAACATTTACTTGCTTAATAAAGTCTGACACTGCCTGTACATATATATATATATATATATATATATATATATATATATATATGCATGCGTGTGTAGCGGCGTAAGCAGCAAACTATGTCTTAATAGCCGGCTGCATGTTTTGTTTAATGGCGATGATGAGTATTCAACATGAAACAGCTGTATTTGCCATCGCAATATCGGGAAGACAGCTGTTACTGACATCGTCGTCATCGGCCAAAACGCCACCATCGCTCACCAATATCAGCAGCAACAGCAGCAGCAATATGAGAAGCCCGACAGTTCGAATGTATTGATCTCTTCTCGTATGATTCTCTTGTGTCAGTGAAGAAGAGCTTTCTGTTAGAAGCAGCAGCAGGTATTCACTGTTCCGTGTGCAAAAACGACCACTGTGGCGCAAAGAAGGAGGGAGAGGAGGAAGAGGGAAAAAAAGAAAGAAAGAAAGAAAAAAAGGACAATAAGATGTTTAGGAGATGGGAAGTAGAGCGATGCATCGGTTGACGTAAGCAAACGGGTGTACCAATCATCCGAAACAACATACTACGTTGGAGTGACGTATGTAAAAACTATGAGCCAAGCAAGGTAGAAGAGGTGAAAAGTGGTGACCCCACCCAGAAAAAAAAAAAGATAAGGATCAGGAGACTGTTCTGTAAAATGAAGGACAGTAACTGGGTATAGGTTTTTATGAAGAAATATATTTTTTCTTGTAAAGAAAACTCCTATAATAAATGCGATAGTATTAATTTTAAATATAATTTTGAATACCGTAAAAACCCCGATGAGTATCATTTCCCGTTCACCAATCAGGCTCCAGATTTTCTCCAGTCACAACGAAAGGTTACACTCTCAATGAAGCCCCATTCTTTGAACTTGTATTTCCCTCTAGATCTCAAGAAGAACTCATAACTACAATCCATTGCTAAAGATCGTTGGAAAATGGTTGGCTCCTTATTTTGCCGCAGAAAGTATCTGTCCTTTCTTCCATGCTTCATTACAAGAATCAAACTAGACCAAAACTGCAGTATTGCTGCCATATCTGAGCTAGAAGATATTCATACTTTGAAACCATTTTCAAAATCGTTTAAGGGGTCTTGAGTGTATGAGGGATTTATTTTTCATTCTGTAGCCGCTTTCCCACAAGCTTACGGTCATACCGCATTGAAACACTGATTCTTGTACGATCACCGAAGTTAAACAACATTGAGCCTAGTCAGTACAAAGATAGGTGACCCCTTCGGAATACTAGGTGGTGTAAGTTTTGCGTGTGCCCTTGGTCTAATGGATTCTATGCGCAAATACCAATGGGAAAGGCATGAACTCTTTTTCCCTCTTTAAATACTTGAACCTTTATCAGTAAAATCATTATTATATCCACAACATTCTGACAATCCGAAAATATTTTCTGGCTTTAAATAACCATCAAAAAGTTGGGAAGTCACAGAAAACTAATCAAAAACCTTTTTTCCATAGACGCATCAGTGCCGGCTAATCGCTATTCATTATTACCATGTCAAATGTTCAGATGGACTCTACTCTTTCGTTCGGTCAGTTCATACCTTTACAACTAGGACATTAGCAGTTGATAAAATCAATTAAATAAATGACATTTGTATGAAGATGTACAAATGCATATGTACAAACATAACGAGGTCCTGATGCGCGGCAGTTGGCACTATCAGACTTCAAGAGGAACTGATGTCCACAATCCACTGCTAAAGATGACTGAAACATGGTCGTCTCATTCTATCGCTCTAAGAAGTACCTGATTCCTAATATGCCTTTTTTTACAAGATCAAAAATGGAGTATTACTGCCATATCTGGGTTAGAGCTGATCAATCTTAACTTTCAAACCATGTTCAAAATCATGCGTGGTCTTTTTGGGAAAAATATTGAGCACTTTATCCCATAAATATAGCACACCTTAAGACTATATTTCTTCATATATATATATATATATATATATATATATATATATATATATATATATATATATATATATATAGAGAGAGAGAGAGATAGATAGATAGATAGATAGATAGATAGATAGATAGATAGATATAAACAGAGTGAGATAGAAAATGATTTAGACAGACAAGTAAATATAAAATTTGCTAGCGAGATATGAACAGAAATATATATATATATATATATATATATATATATATATATATATATATATATACAGTGTAACCCGGATATAAAAGACCCGGATATAAGAGAAACCCGGATATAAGAGAGATTTTCTTTGGTCCCAAATTAGAGCCTGTGTTAATGTATATAAAACAGACCAAACCCAAATATAAGAGAAACCCGGATAGAAGAGACTTCTTCTCCGGTCCCAACAACTCTCTTATATCCAGGTTACACTGTATATATATATATATATATATATATATATATATATATATATATATATATATATATATGTGTGTGTGTGTGTGTGTGTGTATAATAAAAAGGCTTAAACACTAATATTCCATGGTTACAATTTATTATATTGGAATCGTAATTACGATCCAATTCATCAGACATTGTCCTGGACATTGAGTTCTACCTGGATTCTATCCTCTTGGAAAATTTTATATGTATGTGTATGTATGTATGTATGTATATATATTTATATAGTTTATATATATATATATATATATATATATATATATATATATATGTGTGTATATTAACCACTAATATTATCAATATATATATATATATATATATATATATATAGAGAGAGAGAGAGAGAGAGAGAGAGAGACAGACAGACAGACAGACAGACACAGAGATAGGGAGATTGGTTTTGACCTTGCAGTCACCATGCAATGTTGATTCCTATATCCACACTATTAAACTTAAATATCTCCGAAATTGACAACAAATATATATATATATATATATATATATATATATATATATATATATATATATATATATATATATCGGACATTGAGTAGTAATGTTAATAAAATAGTTCTCGATATAATATAACAATGCTATGAATTATATATGAATAAATATACATATTTTCTCTTACTGGTAGAACAATGCGGAGTTTCATGCACACCGCGATCGTCAGGTGTTGAATTTTAGATTACTGAAGACTGAGGTACTGAAAATTGCGTTTTTCATGAAATTCCGAGTCGTGCTACCGGTAAGGAAAAATGTATACTTATTAATGTATATACATATATATATATACAAACACACACACACACACACACATATATATATATATATATATATACATATACACACACACACACACACACATATATATATATATATATATATGTGTGTGTGTGTGTGTGTGTGTGTGTGTGTGTGTGTGTATGAATTTAGGAAGCATATCTTCAATCAAACATGTTTTGTTGAATAATATACTGATATTGTGTCTACTTATTTTTATACTGATCTAATAAAGTCCTGATGTTAAAATGAAATTCCTTAAGACACCGTAGTCTTTTTTTTAACACTAGAACTGTCGATCTTTTCCAAGATTATCATTTGGTTTAAAGTACAAAGACAAACTGTTTGTAACTGCAATAAAATCGGCATTCCGATCCAACTGTTCTAGCGAGACAAGCTTGCTAACCATTACACCACCTCGAGGGGCCTAATCCGATTTGTATATATATATATATATGTCTATTTTCCACATTACAGGGTTATTAAAATCAATTTATAAATATACTATGTGTGTATGTGAATGTGAGCGTGTGTGCGTGTGTGTGTGTGTGCAGGTGAATTATTATACACACACGTACATGCAAACACACACACATACACACACACATACACACACACACACACACACACATATATATATATATATATATGTTCTGTTCATATCTCGCTAGCAAATTTTATATTTACTTGTCTGTCTAAATCATTTTCTATCTATTTTTCGTGATTTATATGGGGATTTTTTTAAACACACGCTGACGCGCTGTTATAGTTATTTTAGAACTTTTAAATTTATCCATTGTAGTTATGGAATTTTTTTACAAAAGAAGCGTTTCAATATAAGGGAGTTAACCAGGAATTGGTAGAAATGTAAAATGGTTTCAGCATATAATGTTTTATGCACTTTAGTATGTTGTTGCTATATGCGTAATTAATTTTGTTGATTTTGATATAGAGGGCCTCGAAAATTTGAAGATTGTGCTTATTATTTTCGTGGTGTAGTATACTGGTGTTGTCAATAGGTCGAAAGTACTTGGATTAAAAAGACTACGGTGTCTTGATGAATTTCATCTTAACATCAAGAAACTGGTTAGACAACTGGAAAGGATCAATATAAAAATAAGTAGACAATATGTCTACATTTTTCAATGAAACATGTTTGAATATATATATATATATGTATAAACATAGGTAACTACACTCATCTCGCAAAACCTTCGGTTTCTTGATTTGCTAATGGCCAAATTAATCTCGAAGAAAAAAGGTTTTAAAAAAGAAAGAGCTATGAACATGAACTTTAATCTGTCGAAAATAATCGTACAGCATACAGGGTCCTATCTTTTTTTTTTGTTTGGTCACGTGGTTTTGATCTTTCGATTTTGCCTATAAGTATACAGTTTTCTTTACCTCTTTAGCCAGCTTTCCCTGGCGATTCGCTTAGGTGAAACCTTGGTAGGTTTGTCTGGCTCTCTAGGTTTGACTATACATATATATATATATATATATATATATATATATATATATATATATATATAGATAGATAGATAGATAGATAGATATAGATATAGATACACCTAGTGAGTCAGACAAACCTACCTAGGTTTCACCTAAACGGATCGTCAGGGAAAGTTTGGCTAACGAGGCAAAGAGAAACACATATTTATAGGCGATAGCCAAAATCATACCACGTGACAAAAAAAAAATAAAAACAAACAAACAAACAAACAAACAAACAAACACAACCTAAGTGGAGGGGGGGAGGGTAAATATTTATTCAACAAAAAAAAAAAAAATCCTCAATGTGGAAAGTCAATAACGGGAAAACGTCTACTTTAGTAGCCAAGATTTTTTATGTCTACATACATTGAGAATTTCAGTTTTAGAGTTTAATAGCTGGTTAGGTTGATCATATAAAGCTATGGCTAATTTCTCCTCAGCACATAATTTGCAAAATTTATGGCCTGCTTTATATTTTGGGCATTTTTTTAATATCTCCCATTTAAGGATGGGGTCTATATTATCTTCTTGTTTGGTTTTCCATACGTAGGTAGATAGCGTGGTACTACGTTTAATTTTTTGCGTTCTTAAAACTACTCGTGTGGTTATAATATCTTTTTTTAAATTTATCCTGAGTAGCACCTATGTATGTTTTAGGGTTAGTATCCTCACTATTTTTGTAAATTTTCACTTGATACACCACGCATTCTTGCTGGCATTTTCCCTGTAATGGACAGATGTTTTTGTTTCTACAATTACAAGTAGGAGGATTACTACGTGGATCATTCCTAGTTTTTTTCTTATTCAATCCATTTATTATAGTCCCTACGTTAGGCATACAACAATAACTAAGTTTTACATTGTTTTTGTTAAATATTTTATGTAACTCAGTTTTTTTTTTGGGAAATGTTGCTCCAGTAAATTAAAAAATATCTTACCAATTTTAGTTTTTACCGCTAAATTAAAAGGAGGATTGAACCACAAAATTTTTCTTTGCCTATTATTATGTTTATTCCGAGTAATGTTGTGGTTATCTATATATTCTAATTTATTTTTATGTTCACTCTTAATTAGGGCTTGCTCATAACTTATTTTGTTGGCCTCAAAAATGTCCCTATTGGAGGAATTAGTAGAAAGTCTATATCCAATATTTTTAGAAATATGCCTTATAATATGGGCTGGGTGATTTGATTTTATGTGTAAATACTGGGGTTCTTGATTTTCTTTTTTATACGGGGATATTGTGCCATTTTGTAAATTCAACGTAATATCTAGATAGTTGGCAATTTTCAAATTGGTTTCTATATCGAGATAAAATCCGAAGTTTTTAAAAAAACAGTGCAGTTTTTTACGGATGTTGTCACATTTTTGTCACATATCTTGATATCGAGGGCCTTGAGAATATGAAGTTTTAGTTTTTTAAACTCAGATACTATTGTCCACGATGATTAAACCGTCGTCGCGGTACAACCCATGGTTATTAAAGTCTATATATTCATTAAGCCTATGGAGCAGCAGGCACCCTACTCTCTCGCACACCTCTGCCCCATCAAACGCTCCCATAGGGTTGTCAAAAC